TTAGGTATTTCAGGCCCACAGACCTCTACCTATAAAGTTTATCCTGACCATGTCCTTAGAATAACTCCCCTTCTCCATAATTTTGAAGATTCAGATTCCAAGTCACCTTTATAACCCCAACTGTCTTGCATCTGGTTTTGTATTTAAATCTATTAAGGTGCTAGGCTTTCTCTAGGGATAACCAGATCAGTGAAAGGACTGTGGTCCAACCACATGAGTGGCCCAGGCTGTGCAGGCCACTCTCTGGAACACTCTCTCGCTCTCAGTCTTTGCACGTACGCTGCCAAGTTCTATCACGGCTGGTTTTCTGGCCTTGTGTATATTAGATGTCATGATCTTTCATATGAAAAAGATATGTTAGTATGTACTGCTAAAGGAGTCTTCTAAGAGCTACAGGAACAACTCCCTGCAATTTTTCCATTTTAAGCTTAAATTCAGCAATATTTCTGCCTGTAATCAAGAATATTCTATTTGTTCAGGAGTGTCTTGCTTTCAGAAGGTGCTGCAGTGGCTCAGAAAGGTATACTTTGTCTTGAATTAGTTGTTCCCTCTCTTCTGGGAACATGACTGTCATTTTAAAAGAGAACTTTCGTATGTCTCCATGGAGCAACGTGAAAAGCCTGTTGCCACTCAAGTTGTGTTCTTTCAGTGGAGCAGTACACCTGCAAGCACCCTGAGGCATTTAAGTAACTACCCTATGGCTCATTTTTCCCCCTTAAAATAAGAAACCACAAGTTCAGTGTTTCTGAGCAAGGAAGTGGGATTGCAGACAGCCTGACCCTTTACTTCTGAATATAAGCAAGAAGTGCCTGTAAGAAATCAAGATGTTGCCTTGTTAGGCTAACGCATTTCAATTCAAGCTCATAGATACTCAAAAACACCAGAGAAAAAATTCCCTGTTGCCTTGTTTCTATCACTGGAGCATTTTTCTGTTTAATCCATTATTCCCAGATCTTTCTTCGCTTTCTTTGTCAGAACTGGGGTAGCATTCTCATAGCCCGGTGAACAGAACAGACTCAAGTTTCCACATTTGGAAACAAGACAGACTCCAGATCTCCTACTGGCATCTCAGATTCCACCATATAGGCAGTACATAATTAATACACAAATCTGGTTGCCCTACAAAAGGTGCCATCATCAATGGCCTAAAACTCAGGCTTTATGAGCTTCCCTGCACCACCTTCTGCGCACCGCCCAGCACACCAGTCCTTGAGTAATTCCCATGTAGCAACAGAAGGAAGTAGGCTCTTTATAGAAATCTGACCACAAGGATATAAGAAGCCCAAGGGAAATCCAGCTATTGGTTTTGTTTCAGACTCAGGGAAAGGGGATCTAGGGGCTAGTACAGTGACCAAAGAGCTGAAAGTTACCCCAGATTGTGAGCCTATGGCAGTTGCAGTCCCCGTTTTTTACGTGCTTTGCTAAATAACTAGCCCATCTCTTGCTGAAAAGCCACGCTGTAGCACAGCTATGTCTGGCTTTTTTTAGGTACTTTTTTTACCTGTTGAAGGTTCTATACAGAAATTCAGTATAACAATGATAGAACTTTCAGCTAAGAGTCATTTTCTGACAGCAATAATGGATCATAGCTTACAACATGGTACTGAAGAAGTAGTGTATATTCCCTACAGAAATCCTTGTTTATCTATATAAAAAGTTTAAATTTGCACTCAGCTTCACCTTGATAATCTAAAACTCTTGCCAGAACTTAAAAAAAAACTTTTTTTTAAAAAAAAATAACATTTGCTTCTTACGTCTGCAAGTGAAAGCCACTGCCAGTGCGTATTTTTTCAAGGGTAAAGACCTGTGCAAGGCCACATCCTACACATAGAGCTCACAAGGCAAAGCAGACAAGCACTGCCCATCCCACTTCAGGCACCCCAGCAGCAGGCTGCCACCATCCCTGGTGCTCCCTGCAGGAGGGTTTCAGTCTTCTGGCCAAGAAACTCCCCATTCCAGTCCTTCAGGTGTGTCAAGGTCCTCAGTGAGAAACCTCACATAATATCACCTAGTCAGACTTCAGCATAACCTTAGCCTTCCCCTCAGGGCTAGCCTTCATAAGGGCCTCTATTCCATTTGCATCCAGAAGCCTACTCCTGCCATCTACAAAACCTTCCTGTCAGCTCTGTTAGATAACTCATTGCAGCCAGATTTTGTCGGGGGAGATCAAACTTTTCCAGGATTCTTCTCTTGACAATATAACACCCTTTTCACACTTCCCTTTTGTGTAGCCAGACTTCCTACAAAAACAAAACTTGTTTAGTCATGTTGTCTGTCAATCTTCGCTTCCCTGCATGCTTTTCTCCCCTTGCAAACTGACTAATTTCAATTGAATCTGACACCTGATCTCCAAGACTAAGATCCCCAGAAACTAGAGAAAAGTCCTCAGCTAAGGAAACTCAGATCAGTGCTAGCACTGAAGAAGTGAATGCAGCTCGCATGCAGCAACATCTGCTCAGCTGGCGGGGCAATCAGCACACACCACATGGGCCTCAGGTCACATCACAGCACCTGCTGCCTCCTCCATGTCTGGGAGTAGAAGGACATGAGTGGAAGAAAGGGGAGGAGGAGGCTGGGAAGAGAGGCAATAAATTTGTAAGGAAGTCAACTTACAGGAAACCTGGTGTCCTCATCTCTGATGCCCACTGAGCAAGTTGTCTGCTTTTTATTGCAGGTCAACCAGACACAACGTGCTATGCATTCGTTGGAGAAACTGTCATTTTGCCTTGCACCATCCCCTCTCCTGGGGAGATGGATGTTTCCAATTCAAAGGTCTACTGGCAGATAGAGTCTATCTTAGTGCATTTTTTTCACAATGGAGAAGATTCACTGGTGGGCCAGGATACAAACTACCATG